ATTCTATTATTAACACATTTTGAAATTATCCAACTAAATTGATCATTTTTTTATCCTTTGAGGCCAGTTTAGGTCTCAAGCTCGTAGGCTGGGAGGAGCTTCACTGATTTCACTGCATTTAATAGTTCTTTTGGCAGCCCTGTACAGCTCCTGGTGATACAAAAGACTTGGTTCTTATTAGTGAACCCCTTTTACTAAAGTGTGTTAGACTTCCCTTCTATTACAGGAAAGCACATCTTTGTTGCTTTTCCAATGCAAAAAATGAATGTGTCATGCACGGTTTTGTGACATTATGTATCCACTCAGGCAAAACATTTTAACTGATTTATCCTGCTTGATATGTTGTTCTTAATTAACTCCTGCTCATAATCTGAAGGTGCTATTTAGGATTTGGCAAAACCAAAACTGGATTGCACATACACATGAAATGAAATGTGATGAGTAATGTCTTTTTTTAAATGGGGTATTTTGTAATTCTCTACTAAGCAGTTAAAGAATGTCAGCTCCCCTGTGTTTTGTTCTTTAATTGGATTCACTCTGAAATCAGTCCTGCAGCTTCCAGTCCTGTGTCCGTGCAAGTAATAAAAGTTAATTTCAAAGAATGAAATTCTTTTGGAATGAAGCAAGCAGCGGTTGTAATTTTTTCTGCACGTTGGTTAAATGTATTTGAAGAGGATGTTTTTGGAATAATCACATTTTTTAGCCATTCATGAAAGCAGGAAACATTCCCTAGTCGAGCTGTTGCTTCCCAGTGACTGGGAAAAAAAGAAAAGATCTAACTTGTTTTTTTATTGCTTTTCTTTGGTCACCATACTACAAGAAATATTTGACTGCACTAGAATCAGTCCAGAGACGAGCAACTAGGTACATCTACCAGCTCAAAGGAATATCATACTCTGCCAAGCTCAAAGAGCTGAATACTTTTCATTTTGAACCAAGGCTATGGGGGTACTGTACCTTGATCAAGACTACAAAATCTTCATTGGCGTAGACAAAGCCAAGCCAAGGCACTCCTTTAGGATCAACAGTGAAACACAGACCAGAGGACACAAGTGGAGACTACAGGGAAGAGCATTTACAACCGAGAGCAAGAGATGCTTTTTCACACAGAGCTGTGAAGTTCAGAACAACCAGCCATGTTGTCAAAGCCGATGCCTTTGTTTCTTTAGGAAATGGCTGGATGAGATCCTCAGATCAATTAGCTACTTAAAACCGAAAGGCTTCCTCTCGTCTCAAACTTGCTTATGATTGTTTGCAGACTTTTGGAAAATGAGCAATGTCTAGCAGTATCATTTGATCAATTGGTACTGTAAACACAGACACTGCCTCCACATTGAAGAGGTCCAGCTAGGTTTAAGATTTGAGATTTGTACTGCATGTAACCGAATGTTTTAGTTTTGCGTAACTCTACCTCTGATTATTCCAGTACAGTGTTGAAGGTTATGACTATTGATCTGGACTGCAACAGCACGGGCCAAAACCCCTCGAAAACAGACAGTAAATCTCACTAATGTTGGAATAGGAAAATTCCCAAAACTATAAGGGTCATTTGCTCTCTCTGCAATACACTTGCGTGTGTGTAAGGATAGAAACAAGCAAAGGAGGCTTTTCCCTTTCGATTTTAGCGCAGGGAATTCAAAAATGCATGCTGCTCGTATAAAATTAAATTGGAATGGCATTATCATTTCTGACTGTATTCACAAAACTCTGAAGGCTGAGCTGCACCGCTGAGAGTGAGCACAGAAAGTGCAGCCAGATGTATCTCTAAAAGGAGGGATGGCTACAGTAAGAGGCAAGAAAAGCAAATTCTGTCATCTCTATCTTAACGAGTCCAGAGACGTGTTAAAAGTTCTGCTGAAAATGCATAATCTTTGCAGGAATCAGGACGAAAGCTTTCTGTTTCTGATTGTAAATGGTTGCTAAGTGTAGTTGGTCAGTTTCAGGGGGAGATTCCTTATATAACATGGGCTTGGTTCTGTGTTCTGAAGTGCAGTGTGCGCTTTTCTGTCTGCAAAATCTGTGCGACTGCTTTACACTGTGGGTGTTTCAACAAAGCCTCCTGTCAGGGCTCCTCTGTCAGTGGAAGCTGATCCAGGACTAGCAGTCTTTCTGGAGTGTCAAAACTGTCAGGCATGATACTCCTCGCTGTGTACCATATAGCACTATTCTCCTGTGAGCTCTTCCACACAACCCTGACAGCGTTTATTGAAGTTAATAGAGTGGAAGGTCCACTCACCGATCATTATTTCAACACTCACAGCAGGAAAGGTAGCGAGTTACCTGGGAGACTGCACACAGAATACGAGTACATGGACCCTGCAACTATCAGGGTGAACTGAGAGCTAAAGCTTTTAAACAAATTGGGGGAAAAAATCTCCATTTGTGCACTAATACGCTGCACGTTCCCAAGATTTCACTAGGTGTCACCTTCTGCTGTTCCGCCTTTCACATAGAGGCTTTCTTTATAGTCTATAATGTGTAAAATATTGTTTAAGGTGTTGTGGAAAAAAAAAACAATTTAAAAAAGCAGATAAAATGGTAAAAAACAAGTCAAAAAGGGTCATTTGTACGTTCTTCTCTCTTGCTAATGCTTGCACAGCCCAGAACTTTGTCTGTTTCCATGAGTGGCGTCTGCTGACGGTGACATTACAATATGACAAGCGACAACCCGTAAACAGAGGTTCTGAGGCCTGATTTCTTCACCTGCAGTTGTTCACAATTTGTATTGTGAGAAAGTAAAGGTGTTAACACAATGTCCTCCGTTTCTGCCATTCAAGACAAGAATGTATACAGATGCATTTTTTTAAATGGACTGACTGTAGGGCATTATTTTCCTCTTGGCACATCTAGAGTAGGTCGGTATGAGAGAGGTGCCCTTGAGACTGTATTCCCATTTGGGGGGGTAAACCCACATTGGTGAAGCAATCAGCTGTACCTGTTACCATATTTGTGATGCCTTAACACTATTGTGTAATTATTCCTTACATTATGTCTCACAACCTCACAATGCTTACAAATTAAAAATGCAAGCATGCAAGCATTACCTGTGTTTTAAGAGATCATCTGTAAAAGGATATTGAGGCTGCTCTGGCACAAGCTGGACCCATGGAATTGTTGCCTGCAGATATCAGCATACATGAAATGCCATGCATTTCTGGAGTTGAGCTCTGCGCAAGTACTTTCTTCATCCCAGCCTTAAAACAACTACTGCCACTAAAGCATTCCTACATGTAGTCTGTACCTTGGGCCCATAGTATTGGACTGAGACCATGGATGCTTTGTGTTCTTAATGTTCTTAACAAAAATAGAGAATTACAGAAATAGCAAACTGGGATAATCAATAAGTAAAATAACGAATACCCCTAATTGTAAAGATTAGGCCAAGAATATGCCTGAGCAGTTGTTATAATTTCAGGCGCTTGAGTTCTTTGTTCTATTGCACAGCTTTAGCGAAAAGAGTAATCAATCAGACACACTGCGTTAACAAATATTTATTAAGTTCAAGCAGGTAGCTGAGTCAGCGTGCGTAGGCTGCAAAGGAACAGTTAAAGGTTTATTCTACACTGAAAAGAAAAGAGACACAACATTTCGACTGCTGGGCCTTCTTCAGGTGTGACACAACTGTAACATTGAGTCTCTTTTCTTTTCCTTTCAGCAGGGAATAAACCTTTACTTGTTCCTTTGCAGCCTACGCATGCTGATGCAGCTGCCTGCTTGAGCTACATACAACGTACACTATTTACAAACAAGGTTTCTAAGAGGCCTATGTCCTGACCAACCAGAAAAATCCCCAACTGCTTTCTGTGGTTTTTCTGGTTGGTCAGAATGTAGAATATGTTAAAACATGCTTTAGAATACCTACACAGGTAAACAAGAGAGATAAACCTGCCTTCTATGCAAAAGAGTTAAATCTCTCTATATAAAAATCTGAATGCTGCAATGAGAATGGAGTCCTGGATTCTCTACACAGGAAACCAGTTTCCTAAAAATCAACAGATTGAACCTCTTACAAGGTTCAAAGCTCAACTTGAATCTGGTTCTTAAGGTTGATCTGAATAAGCACCTCTTGTCTCTGGTGTCTCCCTCTTCTCTCTCCTGTGCTGTTCTTTCTCCACTCTTCTCTACCTGTCTTTATATCCTGTATTCCTGCACTGTTGATGACTCTTAATGATCTACCCAAAACTTAATTAACTAAGGCAAACCAAGGATATTTTTCATCTCAGACCCCCTACAGCTCCACAGACAACCTCGGTTCCTGTTCTTGCTTTTGATGCTCCTGAGAACTGCAAATGTTGACACTAGCCGGGTGTTTGACCATTGTCTCTAAATGCTGCCACGCCTCAGACAGCTCCTTCCATAGATGAAAAACAGAGTATAAGGCAGAGCTTTGGAGGGACAGACTGATTCAGGGCCATTATTCAGGGCTCTATTTCATTTTACTTCTCTCACAGACCACAACTGGTGCATAAATGCTGTGGTTACTTTGATAGAGGGACATGAAATTAGACATGAAAATGCACAGTGCTTATATATAGAATTGTACATGGATTAATAAAATGTTCATATTCAAGTGAGAGAGATGATTTTAGGTCACCTGCTTGTTTGCCATACATATCTTATTTCCTATGCGTATTTAAGGGCGATACAGCGTCACAGTGGTTAACGTGTAAACAGCCGTGTGGTGCTGGGGCCCTGGGTTCAGCGTGGAGTTTGTATGTGTGGGTTTCTTCCAGGTGCTCCGGTTTCCTCCCTCAGTCAAACACGTACTGCTAGGTGCGTTGGCTTCTGGGAAAACTGGCCCCAGTGTGCGTGTGCCAGTCCTGCGAGGACTCTCGTCTCCACCAGGGTGTATCCCGTCACCTGCTGGCAGAGGCTCTGGCTTCCCCGCGGCCCAGATCTGGAAGAAGCGGTCGGTTAGCTGTTAAGACGGAGGGATGGCTGCATGCGTTCTCAGCAGCATGGTCTCGGTATGACCCGCGTTTCGGCCTTCTGTCCCCCAGGGGTGGCGTGGCCGGACATGCACCGCCTGGCTGACCGCGTCCACCTGGAGGAGCTGCTGAGGATTGGCATCCTGCGGGGCAGCGTGGACGACATGGTGAAGGCACACCTGGGCGCCGTGTTCATGCCACACGGCCTGGGCCACCTGCTGGGCATCGACGTGCACGATGTCGGGGGATATCCGGAGGTCAGTCCCTGGCGTGACGCCATTGCTCTTGCCTTCCTGCTGATGCTGGGCGCAGATTATAGACAACCTCTCCTGCAGGCTGCCGGCTGTAAAGCTCTCCCTGAATGCCAGCTTTGGGAATTCAGGGAGAGCTGGGAATTCGGTGGGATCTTCTTCGATACATGGCTTCCTCTGTCTTTCCTGTGCTCCTTTCAGTGAGAGAAATGCTGCTTCGCTCTCTCTCACTCCACATCGGGTTTCACGGGAGGTCAGTGGCATCTGGTACAAGATGCTAAAAGTGAAGACAAGCAGCTCTTCCAGTCTTCTAGCAGTTGTCATAATAAAAAGAATCCAGCCAACAAGCTGTTTGCTTGTGGGAACATCGTTCCCACAATTCTATTATTGTCAACTTGAGTGTGTTTGAAGACACACCTTCCAATATGTTTTTTTTTTTTGCTTTTTTGCTTCTTAAATATACAGTACACTGTGGTTTGGGGGTTAAAAGAAAATGTATCAATTGCCAGGTACACAGTGTTCTAAATAAATTGCTTCCAGCCCTTGTGTTTAGTTTGATTAGCTATTGTTCCCTGGCCAGAATACTGCGAATGAAAATATTTCTGAATTGGCATTGCTCACTGCATGTAGTTCTGTGATTTATTTTTGGGTGACTGTTCTCGGATGTGAGAGTCATTCATTAGTGTGAAGAACAGAGCACTCTCCCCTTTCTTAGTTGAAGCACAGAAACGTTTTAAACGTCCAGCCGTGTCCACAGGCATCATTTTATACCTGAAGAGCACTGTAATGTGGATACATGCACTGTACACCTATGGGAGGTTTTAAGGTATAGTCTAACTAAATACGCCTGGCATGCCTTTTGGAGCTGCATTAAAAAGGAAGTTATACAGACTTTTTCACAGGGCTGTAAACAAATCAATAAAAAGAGAAACTATTTTGAGTTTGTGGGACGATTGCCATGAAAGAGGGGAAAAAACAACTAAACAGATGTGGGATGTCACTCCCTTTGTGTTTTCTATTGGACAGGCTGCACTTTCCAGACTTGTCATCTGCTGCTTCCAGGCTCTCATGCGATGAATGTGTGAGAATTTCCAGCCATAGTGGGGGATTTCAATTAGATTTATTCTGCACTGAGTGAGGTTTCGGCTGGGTTACTCCCTTCATCTAATTTGCCCATTTATCTCTAGCTGGTGATAGTCAATGCTGTGTCTGCACAAATTTAACATTATTGGCAGCGAAAACCAAGAAGCACCAAATGACTCTGAAGAAGGGATGGTGTTTCTAGGGCACGTGTGCTGTGTCAGGTCTGTAGGAGTGTTTTTCCTGGCCGAGGGATCTGATGTTCTGTATAAAGCTGGACATCCTTTGGTTTGCTTCTTAGCATTGCAACAAATAACTCTCTGTGACCTAAACCCCAGAAATTAATGAGTTTCTTTTAATAATGAAAGTCGGTAAATTGCCCTAGATACAGTCTGTCATAATTTAGCTTCTCTTTGGCAGAATTGAAATTCCCATTGTTCACAGCAAAAGTGCCAGATATTTTATTTAAGAACATGTATTCAAGATGTAATGATCAGAGCAATTTAGTGTCTGATAAAGTGAACCACAGTTCTAAGAAAAAAACAATCCTAAGTCAGTAAGTACTAAGGTAGTTATTTATGCTACAAAACCCCTTTGCTGTTTAACTTAAAACTGGTAGGTGCATGCCTTTTTCTTTCCAAAAAGAATGACCGTATGTTTTGGAAAGGATAACATTCCACTTTGTCATAATGGCTTCCAAAATATACCTCTGTGTCTTGCCCTATCTGAACTGTTCAATGAAACTAAATGTTCTTGGCTCCTGAGGTAAAGACACTCTGTCACTGCTGACAGCAGTACACAACTGTTTGATGAGTGACGCTGCATGAATGAAAGTTTATTGAAACTAATGTCCCTAACTTTATGCTAAATTATGAAAACCATTAAGGGCTTTGAGTTTAAAAAGAATCATGATAAAAAGAAATCTGAAGACATGTTTTCCAGATGTTCCTCTGCTACAGCTTGCGTGCCAGAGACTTTGAGGAGGTTCACTTTAAACTCGCTCATCTTGGCATCATGGCTACACAAAGCCTCATTCAGAAAATGCTTGTTGTGCTTTTCTCTGTTTAAGTTCTTCCTTTCAGCACTTAAATTTTCGTTTTGAAGATGATTTAGATCACTAGTATTGTGCTTTTTTTGTAGCAATAATATAGGACACAAGTGGCCTGCATCTTCGGTGCTTTGTTCAAAGGCAGTGCTAGGCAGCAGCACACAGCCTTGGATAACATGCTTGTGGCTTTACTATTACAGTTTTGATAGTAAATATGGGGTGCCGTGGTCCGGTCTGCTAACTGTGCTCCGGGTCTGGGCCTGTCAGGGCGTGGAGCGGATCGACGAGCCGGGCCTGCGGAGCCTGCGCACGGGCCGCGTGCTGCAGGAGCGCATGGTGCTGACGGTGGAGCCCGGGATCTACTTCATCGACCACCTGCTGGACCAGGCGCTGGCCTCCCCGGCCCAGAGCTGCTTCATCAACCGCGACGTGCTGAGCCGGTTCCGGGGCTTCGGAGGGGTGAGTCCGCCGGCACCGCGCCGTGCACATGGGCCCTCCAGCCCTGCGCAGCGCCGCCTTCCGCTCCTGTGCTGGATGGGAGTAGCCCCTTGCTCATCTCAGTTAGCTAAAGCCACTGTTTTCTTCTGCCCCCAAACCCTTTTTTCTTTTTTCTTCAAAATGCACGTTAGAAAGCTCAACGGCTCAGAGTAGCTGCCTCAACAAGGGCAGCCTTTGCTTTGAGGGAGCAGACTATTAAAATGCCAAATCCCTGGTTTCGCACTGAGCGACAGCTTGCCTGAATCCTCTTGCTGTGGAAGTGCAGTGACCGATTACGTTTCCTGTTGATGTCAGGATTTCCTGGAACTATTCTGTGCTCACCTCCTCTGGGCCGTGCGTCTAAAACCCAAGACTCCTTATTCAGTGTGGTTAGGTAGACAGGCGATAAGCTGTGATGTATGTCTGAAGTGGTTGAAAATGTCTCCTGTTTATCAGAATCTCAGGCCTCTTTGATAAACACTTCAGAAATGCTTCAGAAGCCAAGTACAAACTGTCTTTTGGTTCCTCCTCCTGTTACCAGAAGTCTACCCCCATGAAGCCAACTTCAGCTTCATTATTCTAATGAAAAAACAGTTTAAACATAAAAACTAAGAATGTTTATAAATGAGAGGGGGCATCCAGTTAATTCCAGTTAAGTTCCATTCAAAGCACGTAATGGACCCAAGAATCCTATCTATTTGTTGGCTTCAGGAACACTGTCTCTTTTTGTACTAAATATACCTCACAATCCTGTGTGCGAGTTTATAATCACTTTCCTCATTTCTATTGAAAATACCTGGACGAGGATTTTAGAAAATAATGCGGTGAAATTTTTACTTACTGTTTCTTCTCAGTCAGTTAAATGAGTAGGAAGGGTTAAACGCTTAACGTATGAAAAGTACAGTGAAAAAGGAATACCCGATTTCAATGACAGGGTTGCATCTGATGTTAAACATAATGCAAAACATTCCAGTTGTATTAAGAGCATTAAGAGCTGCTTTCTGTTGCAATGTGAAAGGACAGGTAATAATGGGTTCAAACTGGGGTAAGGAAACTAGTGGAGTACCACAGGTAACGTACAAGGCCCATTATTCCTCTTAATTTATATCAACTTTCTCTATTCTGGTATTGTGTTAGTGAGCTAGTGAAGTTTTCAGATGATGCCGAAATAGGAGGATTAGCAAACACTGTAAAAGCGGCAAAGGAAATTAAAAAAACAGAATTCAGGATTGGGCAAACACCTGACAGGTGACATTTAATGTAGATAAGAGCAGATTTGGTAGGTAGCAAATTAAAATGTAAAATGGGAAATAGCCTGAAGAACTGCCTACGAAAAAGACCTAGGTGTTTATATTGCCAAATCAATTTTGAAATCTAGACAATGTGGGGAAACAAAAATGATTTTAGACAAACACAGTAGTTAAAAACAAGTTTTGGCCAAGGTGATATAAGAGATTAGGACAGTGGTGCAGTGGTTAGCTTTAATGCCTCTCAGCACTGGGGTCCTGGGTTCAATTTCGGACCTGGGGTGCTGTCTGTGTGGAGTATGCATGTTCTGCCCTGTTCTCATGTGTTTCCTTGGGGTGCTCCGGTTTCCTGCCACAGTCCAAGGACACACTGGTTGGTTAAGTGGCTTCTGGGAAAACTGAGAGCCCAGGTATTCAACCCCTTCCAATGATGTTTCATATCTTTTTATTCTGGCTTATTTTTATTCATATTTTTTCCTGACATCTTCTGAACCACTACTATAACACACAGACAGCGTTCAAATAGTTGTGTGATTTGCCATTTCAAACACCTGAATTAATTTATATTCAACGTGGAAAAAGGGGGTGAATACTGTACAAGATTTTGATTTTTCCTTTCTATTTAACTTCTTTCATCTTTTAAAAGTGTTCGGTTTGAGCATTCAAGTTCTGACAAAAAATATTTACTTTAAAAGATGTCTGCACATCCCAAATGGGGCAGCATTAGTAGGGATGAATGCTTCTGCCAGGCACCGTGCATTCTCTGGATCAGTGGAGTGTCAAACACTAACGGGATAAAATAATGGATCAGTTCAGTCTTGAGGATAGAAGACTGTGAGTGAACTTGATTCAAGTATCAACACATCCCAAAAGACACAAATAGAAACTAAGGGGGAGTGCAGTTGAAAATAGGTCATTCCTTTACAGTGTTGAGGTCTTTGTATAAAGATTCTTCATAGCTGAAATTCCTGCTGTAGGTTCAGCATACAAACCACACCTCTCACATTCCTTCATTATGAAATTTAAACAGTGAGGCTTTGATTTCTCAGGAAAAGTGTGATGAATCTACTTAGCCTGCATATATCTTGATTTTTGCATATTTAACTATTGAAATAATTGTTAAATGCATAGAATTACACAAATGCAAATAACATCATATATATAGGAACATTAATTTATCAGCAGCAAAACCAGGAATTTGGAATAAAATTTATACTACATGCTCTATCAGGCTTATGTTATCTTACAGCCCATTATTACTTAAGCTTAAGCAAAGTTATCAGCCTTATAAATCACAGGATAAGCAGGGATTTATCAGAGTGTGAGTCTTGAAAAGTCAGGAGCAAACACCTTTTCTTAATGCAAATAAAGAAATCAGTCAGTTTCAATGACAAAGCATTCCTCAGGTCAAAGAGAACAAAGCAATATAGCTGGGTCTATTTTTAGATAAATGTGTCAGAAGATCAATATTTGAAAAGTATATTTATAGTAACATTATGGGTGATTTATTCCTGCACCGTAGTTTTATACCATGTTCATAATCTCATTGTATGGTTTTTCTGCTGGGCTTGTAACCTGTCAGGGGGTATGGACATTTTTACTGTAGAAAGTGTAGTATTTTGTTTCCTTCGTTTATTTTTTCAGTTTTCCTTTTAATTTTTTCCAGTGAAGTATTTCTTTTAAGGTCTTGCTGGCTTGTGTTTCATAAATCATCACACCTTATCAATAATATACATGCAAGATGTTTTTAGAAGCGCAGAGAGACATTTAGAATGTTTATGTACAGTGCTTCTTTGTTTAGTTTTATTCAGGCCATTATCCTGCCATCAGAACTAGAGAATTTCATTGTAATATCTGCCAGTTTTATAAAATGGGAAATGTTTTCCTACCTGTGTGCAAAACACTGCACATGACCAAATTAAACATCATCTGCCAGGTGTCTATTCAGTCTTGAATTTCATCTAAAGCACAGGGAAGTGTCCAGGGGAGTATGATTTTTTTCCCTGTGCACTGTGGTTATGTTCTTATTTTAGGTCAGTACTATTCCATAGTTACAATCATGTGCGGTGACCTACTTCTGTGTGAGAACACCGTGTTATCTGAAGTGCTGCCTTTGAGCCAATGTGTGAAAGAGCATGGAGGGGCTGAAGGCCTCATGTTTGCTTTTGTATTGTACTGTTTATCTTTTCTTGAACTGCTGTTTGACCAGAGAGCATGTTCCGTCTGCTGCTGGCAGCTCAGCCTGGCACTGGTGCGTTCGGCCGCTGGCGTGGTGTGGCAGGGCAGGGCGAATCGCCGCGGTGGCAAGGCCGGCGTGCTCGGCGATCGGCGGCTGGAGGGCGCGCTCATCCTGCCCTGCGCGACCGCCGCGAGCAGGCGGTTTCTCCCGCTGCTCAGTCTTGTCTGCGAAAGGGAGGCACTTGTGGAGGCTGCCTGTTGCGTAGGGACAGCAGATACATAGGAAGGCTGGAGGACAGGATAGCAGGACAAGCAGGAGAGCAGACACATGAGTGGAAATATAGTAAAGAAGATGGTACGTAGAAGACATACTATTGTCATTCTTCCTTAGGAAAGTGGCCACAAGGCCTCAGATCACACCTACTGTACTGTCATCATGCAGGCAGAGCCTAGAGGAGCAGGAAGTGCTCTGTGGAGCCTTGTGAGATCGTGTGAGAGACCACAGTTTTAACACTGTCCCTTAAACTGGGGAAAAAAAAATACATATGAAGCATTTCAAGCATTTCATCTTTTCTGCGGTAATATTGGTGCCCAATAAACAAGAGCCGTAAAATTAACTTAGATTGGTATGAACTGATCAACGTTACAGATTTGGTTTTATACGCTACTGTTATATTAAATATTATATATAGCTTTGTTGTTAGATCAAATTAAATAATAGGAACTAATAGGAACAACATGATAAACCTGGATCTTTTCAAATAAAACTATACTTCATGAATTAATTTTTTTCTTATTTCTCTTCCGGGTAATCAAGCAGCAGTATTCATTCTGACAGAGGTGTTGTGCTTAAATTATACGTGAGAGGAGTTCTGTTTCGAGGGGAATTATCTGTGTCCTGGGGCACAGTGAGCGATCTGGCCTTCCTGGCCACCGCACCTCAGACAGGAGTCGTCTCCACGCTGAGCTCCGTCTCCTGTCGCCCAGGTCCGTATCGAGGATGACATCGCTGTGACTGCTGAGGGAATGGAGCTGCTCACCTGTGTCCCGCGCACCGTGGAGGAAGTCGAGGCCTACATGGCGGAGGGGCAGGGCTCTGCCAAGTCCTTCGACTGCCTGGCCAGCCAGAAACTCTGAGCGCCTCGGCCCCGCCCCCCACTCCCAACTGCATTCATTAGCATTGCGCATCACGGCACTAATTCAGCTTTTATCCTTCTGTAAAACAAGACGCCAGGTCTTGAAATAAAGGCTAAGATGCTTCAAGGGAAAGATCCAAGACTCTGATCAAATCTGCGTTGTCAGCCACAGCTTTAAAAGAGATTAATCATAATGAGAAAAGAATTGCCGAATTTCAGAAACCTGCCTTTGATCTTGCGGAGAAGTGAAAATGAAGATTCGGTGGATGCTGGCTCCTTTCAGGGCGCTTGCAATTTTTAAAGAAAGTATGAAAAAAGGTGAAAACAAGAGAAGTGTAATCTGCACCTGCCTGTGGGGGTACAGTTAGTATACACTCTTCATTGTGTAATATCATTTATCACTTGCACTGCAGATTGTAGTACTGATTTTTCAAGATGAGCAAAGATCATCACTGTGGCTAGACTGTGTCAGGAACTGTGAAAAGCAAACAGCTGTTATTAGAAACCACTTATGCAACAGTTTTTCAGGTGGATTTCTTTGTCAGCGGATATAATCGTGAATCCAGAAGGAGGTGACAAAGAACAATCCAGCAATGTTACTTTCTATGACAGCAGAAAACCAGCCACGCTTACTTGATCTCGTAGCATCTTACATATATGATACATTATAATTTTTCTAGCCCTAATAAGGTGCTTTATGGAGAGCATTTATCAAACTAGTTTACTCTGCTTTGCATTCATCGACAGCATGATTTTTACAAATTGCAAAAAAAGTTTTTCAGTTTGACTAATAAACTTCATATATAACTGCATGTTCCTGTGTCTGTTTCTGCCTCTTGCTTAACACTGTCTGAAGAAATGTAGAGTGGGTTTGGCCAGTTCTGGAGTTTTACAGTGTTGTGGTTCAGAAGCAGACAACATGCATCTTGCATTTATCACTGATAGTGGAGCTTTGTAGTTACCAGACCATCTCGCCTGGACCTCCCCATAGATCTCGGGGGGGGGGGTATTGCGACTTGTGATCTCCCACAACAGCGTATCATTGTTGTACCCTGCTTGGCTGTAATGCCTTAGCAGGGTAGAGTTTGCTGGCTGTGACTGTCCCAGACGATGAGCAACAGTTCCATCTGGTCCAGCGTCCAGCACCCCGATGGCAGGAAGGTGTACGCAGGGCCTATGGGTTCCTTTTAGTCTGGTTTTCTTATCACCAGCGCCCAGCTCAGCTCGCTCACTAATGAGGGGAGTTCACATTCATTTTTCACTCACTCTCCCTGTGTAAACCTGTGTTAACTGGGAGAGGAGAGATCCGACTTCAACACCTGCCACCGTAAGCACGTGGACAGTTTGGTTGCCCGATATTCAGGGTCGCTGGGAAACCCTGGCCGTGTTCCCAGCAGTCTGCAGTGTTCCTGCAGGCACTTATCGTCCGGGACGGGCTGGGCACTCCTCTGGCAGGCCAAAGTCCACATCGCCGAGGGAGCCACGCCTTCGCGCTGGCACGCAGGCTGGCTGGGACCTTGCCCAACTCCTCAGCCCCTTGTCCCTCGTGACTCCATGCCTCGCTTACCCTCTCACTCAACTGAAGCACCCAGAGCGATTTTTAAGGGATGTCAGCCCACTTGTTGCCTACCAATCCTTCGTTGATTGGGAGCTGTCTTCGATAAAACCACTTGAAAAGAATTGTCACTGAAGCAGACAGACTGAACATAGCAGCCCTAAGAGCAGGACGGGCGTCTCTCACCACAGATGGACGGATTGTCAGGCAGGGGACAGAACGTCTGTCCTGCAGGAATCAGGGTGAGGACCCCTGTGAGTCTGGGCTTTATCATGTGGCATTTTTCTTGATTTTTATACGATATTTTTACTATTATTGAAAAGCAAAAACAAACATTCATTTAAGCTTGTTTTATCTGTAAAAGTGGTGCTGTGGACAATTTGTGCAGAGGACTTGTACAAACAGGTTGTATTCAACAAAAAAATGCCCAATCCAGGCTCAAGGTTTTTGTATCCTGTGACAAGATGGCTAAACATATCACAAAAAAAGCAAGAACTCTTGCTAATGAGTGTGAAATCTCCAAACATTATCCTCCACATACCAAAACAGAATGACTAAGTGGAATATCGGTTCTCCTGTTTAATCCACAAATGTTTGTGGGGTTGGCTGCTAACATCGCATAACCTCAGAGCTGTGGAAGAATTAAGAAGCCATTTCAGATACAGATACAGAGTGGTCACAGAAATAATAATTGCTTCTACTTATATAGCGCTTTTCTGGACACACCACTCAAAGCGCTTTACAGGTAATGGGGATCCCCTCCACCACCACCAATGTGCAGCCCCACCTGGATGATGCGACAGCAGCCATAGTGCGCCAGAACGCTCCCCACACACCAACTCTCAGTGGGGAGGAGAACAGAGGGATGAAGCCAGTTCATAGATGGGGATTATTTGGAGGCTGTGATTGATAACGGCCAATGGGAAATTTGGCCAGGACGCTGGGGTCACACCCCTACTCTTTTCAAGAAATGCCCTGGGATTTTTTATGACCACAGAGAGTCAGGACCTCGGTTTTACGTCTCACCCGATGGACGGTGCCTGTTTACAGTATAGTGTCCCCGTCATTATACTGGGGCATTAGGACCCACATGAACCGCAAGGTGAGCGCCCCCAGCTGGCCCCACTAACACCTCTTCCAGCAGCAGCATTAGTTTTTCCCAGGAGTCTCCCATCCAGGTACTCACCAGGCTCACACCTCCTAAGCTTCAGCGGGCTGCCAGTTGTGAACTGCAGGGTGATATGGCTGCTCGCTGTTGCCTCTTGTAGTAAACGTACCAGGGCTTTCAAACACCAGCCTCTACATCTGAGGCCGAACTCGAGATAAACTAAAATATTTTTTTCCAAAAAACTGCCAAAGGGCACTTTGTTCTAGCAATCCTTTCAAAGTGATTTAGCCGGGGGAGGGGGCACTGATATAAAATAGCCCAGTGTACTTATGGGCAACTAAAAACAAGGAGGAGAGGTTTGTACCTCTGGGGGGAGGTGCAACCGAGGACTTGGCAAATAGATATTTGCTCTTTCTGGAGGCTGATTTTATTGTCTTTTATTTATAAATTGCCTCGCCCTGTTCCCTGCAACTTTATTTGCTCTGCTTAAATAAGATGCTTCAATTTACACAGCCTTGAAAGCAAGCAGAAATAAAAATAGATCTTGGCACAGCCTCACCGGGTGACGGAATGAAAGTCTAATCAAAGGTACAGCCTCCAATACGGCCCTACAGGGCGCATGTCTGTTGTTCTCACACGGGATTTCGTAAGACCTTATTTAAAAATTAACTGCAGAAAATTTGGTGTTGAAATATTTCCCCTGATCGGCACTCATTGTATGTTAATTAAAATCCTATTTTGATTCTGAAAGCAGATGCTATTTAGAAGCTCTTCTGCAGGGCATGTTCAAACACAAATGGAAACACTGTTGCCTCCCTCCTAGACTGGCCCTTAGCTTTTTCATGCTGCTAAAGAGTATAACGACTAAGAGAGAAAAGCTTAAAAATACATTTGTTCTAGTGTCTTTAGACTAGACTAAACATTAAAGGAACCAAACTTTTAACACCAAAAAGCACAAGCAAACTTCAAGACCTCGCCAACAACTGCTAAAGCCTCCTTATTTGGGCCCATCCTCTGTGACGACCTGAATGTCTTTTCCCTTTGTGTTGATGTTGTAGAAATTCTTTGTGTTATTTCTGTGCGTTCTGAGATAAAATGGTGCATTTATGGAACTGTTTTTTGCGTTTGAAATGAACTGGACTCAAGCTCCTGGCCCACACTGTACAAAGCATTTTTCATAAATTTTCATGAAGACTTTACAGTATATAACAACTTATCCATCACAAATGACTGGTCCTGTGGGAGACATCCATTAAGACTGGAGAATTCATGCCGGTGGTTAAAATGACAACACTTTCCGTTGTTGCTATTTTAGCACTTTTTGTCCCCTCTTAAGGGAACAGTATCTCAAGAATGTGGATCGCAAAGTGAGCTTCACCTTGGGAGCTCCCTACGTGCTCGTTGTTAAAAGGTCCTCCTCGGAGCACAGGGAGAGTCCCGAAGTCCGAGCTGGACAGCCCTCTTCCGCTCTCTGCCCATCTCCAGATGTGTCTGGGGTTCCCCCGAGCTGCAGTGTGCGCCGCCTGGCTTGGGGCGTGTTTGAGATCTTTTAGGGGTATCCTCACCGTGAAACAGCGACCCCTGCTGCAGCCTGCTGTACTGCTGTGAAAAAAAACACAGACAACGCGCAGAAGAAATGGTGGAAGGTTCAGCCTTTTACCAAGTTCCAGAGGAAAGTATGAGGAAATCTTCAGCCGGACTACAGTGGAATGAGGGTTGTAGGATCGAGGATCGTGGTGATGAGCCAAGTAGATGATCCCTCATTCCAAAATAACTGGGAAAACAATCAAGGACAAATAACTCCCCAAAACTCACAACTGGCTAAAAGCAATAGAAAAATCTTATGTCACAATCATAAAAAAGGAACACTGAGGTCATCTGCAACCAAACTTTATTAATTTACAGTGCACCTAACCCCAGTTATTCAGTAAAAAAGAGTCACAACTTATACATAAATGCTGCCCAGCAACATTAGTAGCAAAATAGGTCAATCAAAATTTGTAATGGAAACATACAGAAATTGGATTCTGGGGACAATTTTATATAAAACACTTCCCAATCTCAATTTAATTTCATGCAGGTTTGCAAACTGAACTGACGTCTGCATTTCAGGTGCACTTGTTTGAATTACACAGTTCTCCGATAAGCAGTACAGCTCGCGTTTCACTGGACATCGATCCATCTTGCTAGTATATAATTACTTTCCCATTTTGTACTTCTTCTTGACAGTAGGTGAAAAAAGCATATTCAGCCTCTTTTTTCCAGGCAAGTCCTTCTCCTGACATAACACGCTGCTTTTAATTACATTGTTCAAACAGAAAAAAATCCAAGATACAAAATTGATCTGTGACCAGTACAGTACAGGTCATAAAATCTCTTCAGCCTGGAACTATCTTTAATCCTCGCACACAGAATGCTGAAAGGAAATTGTGTGACTGAGACTGTTCACACAAACCAAACCTTGATGACGACATGTCTGTACCAAGTTTGTTTTAGTCTTTAGTGCTTCAAGATTGCACAACTACCTGAAGACAGATAAGCTCCCATTTATGACTTTTTCCTAACCTACATAAATCCGACCTTTACACAAGAACGTCAGGTTAGTATTGGAGGTCATGGGTATATATCGAAGTGGGTTTAGAATTGTTTTTCAGCGTCATCACCAAGTCAACAGATATGGGAGAGGATCACTGATACATACTGTGGAGACTGTTTTCACTCTGTGTGAGTGCACCTTTCACAGACAGGGCCAGCAAGTGCTAACATGATCCACTGAACCCCTGGTAAAGATCCACCCAGGCAAAGACATCGTTTTGCTTTCGCTTAGTAAACCAGAAATAATTTCTTTTCAGATGTCATACTCAGCAAGCAAAGTGACCCTTAAAACACTTGTAACAACGGCAGACAAAAGCCAGCTGTAGGATTAAATCAGTTCCAGCAGGTTGGTCACATCTGGGTGTGTGTCAGTCAGTTGGAATCTATGATTTTAGACAATGTTTTTGTATTTTGAAAACTTCTCAATGAAATCCTCACTATTTTAACTGGATAAGTTCTCCGGCCCTACTGCACACGCAGTCCACAGCATGCGTTCACTGTGCCCGATTTGAAAAAGAGGGCAGTCCAAAAACAGAAAAGTTGAGCAAGCATCTGATTTAAAAGTCCATTATGGAAAAGTGCACAAATAACATCTGCATACACAGAAAAGTTACAGACGTAGTAGTATGAAATACTACGAACAGTTACGTTTCATAGCCAAAAACAGCTCTTAACCCCTTGAATCACTGAGTTAAAGCAGACATCCAAAACACAACTAAAATGTGACATTTTCAACCTCTGTGATCTACATTTGAATTGTATCTAGCAAATTTGCCATTTGATAAGGAAAACAAGTATTCATTAAATTTATGCACCATGTTGCACCAGCTCAGAACAAGAAAAAAACAACTTAATGGTAGAAAAGCAGATTATAGAGTGAAGTTATTGACTGCAGCAGCACCAACGTCTAGTCTAGTTTTCTAGATCTCAGAGGCTAAACTAGGCTGGTCAGTACTGGGATAGGAGACTTCTACAGGAAAATAGATTGCTGAATTAAATCAAGATTAGGTAACAGTGGCTCTTCCACTATATATCATTACAAGACTTTGAACCTTCCAGTACATTAATTCCTAAACTGATCCTTAACGGAGGATTGCAGCTAACTGCTAATCTTCAATTAAGGATTAGCTGGGACAAAGTTGTTAGTGATGTTGGAGGTGATGGACCAGAGCTCTTCCCTCTCGACCTGCATTTCCTCACCAGAGCCCCAGTATGGTGACTTGGGGTCACTGTCCTGCAGGAGGCGCTGTTCTTTGGAAGAAGACAACCTGAGGTCCTGGCTAGGTGGTCATTAAAGATCCTGGGGGCACTGTTCTTAAGAGCAGGGGTGTTAACCCCAAATTCCAGGCCGGCCTCCCTAAACTGCCCCCCAATTCAACTAGTGTAGGAATTTCTCGCTCCTCCCATCCTTTGTAAGGCACTTCGGGACGGAAAGAGCAACTGAAACGTGAGGAATTATCATCATCATCAGAAAGCGGAACCCGGGGTTTTGAAAATTAAAACACAGAGAGGTTATAAAGGTAACATTCCTAGGCCTGAAGCTCTTTACCATTCCGCCGGGATCACCCTGGAGCTGATGGGGGGGAAAAAAACTCCATTCTAACGCAACGTCTTCGCAGGCTTTCAGGGAACAAGCACACCGAGCGCCGCACGGCCCCTCTTCCCCGGCAGAGGGGGGAGAAGAGCGGCCCGGCCCGGCCCGGCTACCCCGCGTGGTGCTGATGCCCACTGCCGTTCTGCGCGGGGCCGGGCGCCTCCGTGCTGGGGGGCTGCACGTTGTCCGCCAGGTTGTGGGCGTGCTCCAGGAACAGGTCCTTGAGCACGCTCAGCTCCTTGCTCAGCAGCTTGATCTTGGCCTCCAGCCGCTCGTTCTCCTCCTTGAGCTCGTTCACGCGCTGCTGGGTGTCCTGGGCCTTCTGCTTGCTGCGCATGCGGCTCTTCTTCACCGCCAGGTTGTTGCGTTCGCGCCGCATGCGGTACTCGTCGCTGTCCTTGTCCGGGTTGGACTTCTTGGACTTGCTGGGCGGCATGGCCTTGCCCCCCCCCGCGGGGCTGACCGGCACCAGCTGGGGCACCTGCTGCAGGCCGCTGGTCTGGGCCTGGATGACACTCACTCCGTTCTGGTCCGCGTGGGGCTTCTGCTGCGAAGGCTTGCTCATTTGGACCGCCGGCCCCTGCCCCGTTCGGCCCCCCACTGCGCCGTTACCTCGCGGATCTGTCTTGGGAGAGAGGGGCGCTGGCGCGGCCGTCGCGGCCTGGGCTGAACATACAGGCGCCTCCAGAAACCTGATCCGGGGACAGAAAGGGCGAGTTTTACAAGACAAGCTCCGCGTCGGGACAGTCACGTGCTACAGTAGCTTTCAGAGCCCCAGAAGGAATCTTGAATTGGTGGCCTAGAAACTCAGATTATAAATAAAAACTTTATCAGTTAACTGAAAGAAGATTTATTCCTCTACGGTCGAACCTAAGAAAAAAAACTTCTCTGGACATGAAACGTATTATCACAACTGCAGTGAAGTACTGGTTTTGTTTACAAGACTGGATTAAACATTAACCCTCCCATCTGCAATGTCACAGTGACTCCTGTTACTATCTCCATAAGATATACGGCAGAAAGCAGACCAGCACAGCGATCTGTGCTTTTGTTTGGGCAGGACTGATGTGATGTGAGCTTTGCTCACTTGCTTAACTGACAGAGCAGCGTCTAGGTGCCTGGTCCTGCAGAGACTCTGAGCAGCGATTCTTATAGGTCGGCCCACATCACCAGTTTCTTACAGGTCAGGAACAATCTGTGTTGCAGATCAATTCAAACAAGTAACATGTCCAGTCAAGGCAATTCTGGTCCCTAAGGACTGACAATTTCTGCTCCGATTGATTTCTAAATGATGTCATTTGACAAATTAACTTAAGAAACTTCCTATGGATGTCTAAATAACTAATTATGTTAACTGTTTAATTAGCTATTCAGCTTGGAATAGAAACCAGAAGACACCAGGTCCTCCAGGAACTCAGTTTTAAAGCCCCTGCTCTAGATCACACTAGATCAGCAAGAGGACTGAGGACTCCTGGGCTCTAAAATGAAGATAATCCAGCCCAGGTCTTGAATGGATAAAAATCCATCCCTCCCATTTTCTAACTGCTTCTTCCAATTCGAGGTCGTGGGGGCGCTGGAGCCTATCCCAGGAAGCAATGGGTGGAAGGCAGGATACACCATGGACAGGACACCAGTCCATTGCAGGGCACACACAGACACAGACTCACACCAGGGCCAGTTTTCCCAAGAGCCAATTAATCTACCAGCAAGTCTTTGGGCTGGAGGAGGAAACTGCAGCACAGAGGAAACCCATACAAACTCCATACAGACAGCACCTCAGGTCTGGATTTAAACTCGGGTCCCCAGCGCTGGGAAAACACTGTGCCACCATAGATGCAAAATCAACTTTTTATTCACTTGTTCTCTCAGTTATGTAATGGATCCATAGCCCTGGTCCTGGAAACCTCAAGTCCAATTAATCTTCCAAAGCCATTAAAAGTTATTAATTATCAGGAAGGCGTGTTGGTTAGTGATGAATTAAACAAGTAATCTGTTCCATTAAGGGAACTCAGGTTTCAGTGATCATAGTTAAATTGTTCCAAGTGTACTGAAATCTTTTAAGGATTACACCTGGCCTACAATGATGTGCTTGTGAGCCAATGACTGAAGGTACCCATGAACCCAGAAGGACTGGGACTGTACAGATTTAGAGATCAGCAGGGCTAGGCATCTACACCTTGTGGGTTGTCTGATGCAGTCATCCCAGCCTGCGCCTCGATCAGCCAGGAAGAGCTGTTTATTCAGAAAGAAGGGCAGGACAGCTGAGTTAAGGTCTGTTGTCTCCACCTGCGGGACACGGTTCCCTCTATAAGTTGGGTATTTCTGACACTCGGGACGGAGCAATAAAGGTGGATCTGCGCAGGCGGCTCCAGGAAGCCCTCAGGCAGCACTGGAGAGTGAAGACCAGCAGAGACAGGTTCTCCAGGAGCAGGGCTGGGAAACGCTGCCACCTGGAACAGCTTCCCAAACGCAGTCCTGGAGGGCAGCAGCTCTGCAGCTTTTCACTCCAGCCCGGTTCTTAATCTAATTATTGGCTTAACTGCAACTGTTTCACAATTTCTCATCAGGCTCTGCTTCGTTTAAACTGGACTACAAAACCTGCATGACTCCAGCCCTCCAGTACTGGAGTTCAAAACCTCTGCTGGGTGGCCTGGACTGCTCCACCCCTCCTGATCGACCCCCAACAACCCCAGGCTCTTGCCCATATCCTTCCCTCTTGAGACCAGTGTCTGTTTCTGGATGCAACAGCAACACTGTGCTGTCAAAATGACCACGCGTAGGGCCTTCCGATAGCAACCAGGGGATGCGGTTTTCAAATCCCATCTGGAAATATTCATGACTAATTTTGATTATGGCAATGTACAGGTTTTCAGATCATTTTTACAGTTTTTGTTCATTTTGCTGTCGTTTCAGGCTGTGCAGCCACTGCGTAAGTCTCTGCAATTGAGTCAAAGCACGAGATATGAGAAAGCAAAGTTGCCAGTACAGTGGCACCAAGAGATTTCTGTTTTGAAATGCTGCTCTAAAAAGCGTGTTAGCACATCCAGTATTATCCCATCAATTGCATCAGGCATAGAAGTGGTACTTTATTTTCATGGAACAAGTAATAGGTTTACTTCCCTGCTGAAAAGAGAAGAAAGAAAACACAACGTTTCGGCCGTGGAGCCTTCTTCAGGTGTCATTTTTTTTACACACTAGCTTTGCCCTGTACATTGAATAGGGAGTGTCAGTTTCTGGGTGGTTACCCAGCACTTGGTCCTTCGCTGTGCAGCTAGCAGGGCTGTCTGTTCCAAGAAGCTGTTAATATCAATTGAATTCAAACCCGCTGTAGCAACTTAAAAAAGCTTTATATAATCTCAGTGACATAATGAAGATGTTCCCCCACTAATTAAATGTAACTGGGAGGCACAGTGGTGCAGTGGTCAGTACTGCTGCCTTGCAGCGCTGGGGCCCTGCATTCAGTTCTGGGCCTGATGAGCTGTCTGTGTGGAGTCTGCATGTTCTCTCCCCGGGTTCATGAGGGTTTCCTCCTGGTGCTCAGGTTCTCTCACAGTCCACACACTGGTAGGTCAACTGGCCTCTGAGAAAGGGGCCACAGTGTTGCGTGTGCCCTGCCATGGACTGGTACCCCACCTTGTCTGCCTGGACAGGCCCCGGCTCCCAGATGACACTGTACTGGGAGAAGCGATGAGAAAATGGATGGATGGGTAACGCAACGGGATCCGAGCTCAAATTAAGAAGTCTGCGCTGGGTTTTCATTAACTTTATTTGGTCCCTCCATCGGCAACCAATTAACTATATAAAAAAGCAAATATAGGAGGAACACCTCCATCTTTCGCGTCTACTTCCGGGTTCCCAAATTCACCTGCATCCCATGTGACCAAACCCCATAAGTCACATGACCGCGCGGCGCAGAGACTCGACGTCGCTCGCGAGTCTGGGGAGCTGGTGCCGAGTTTAGATAAATCAAATGTCAACTTTGGAGTTTGGGTTATCTCTCTATAACCCTGGACGAAATACGTATTGGATATGTAGAAATCGTGTTGCCCACGACAAGCAGGCTCAGGTAAGCCGGTCACAGTTTCTTCCTAGAAAACAACATAAACTGTGTGCAGACGATTCTCGTGTCTTGTTTAATCAAGGGGATATATATCCAAATACAAGTCAATCGCTGGGTACTCATGTCAGCCTGCGAATGCGTAAACGATGACTTAGCGTCGTGTGTACATCATTTAAGATGCCCTGCGCATTCGCGCTGCCGTAAAGTGGCGACGAGGTTAAATCCCACGCTGAAAAGAACACAAGTTAAATGTTTCGGCTGTGAAGTCTTCCTCCACTGCGTGGACGAGAAGAAGAAATACGTGGCCTCCATCTCCCCCCCCCACCCACCCACACACACACACACACACCTGAAGAAGGCTCCACAGGCAAAACACTTCAGCGTGGATCTGGACTCCCAGCTCCCCCGCCTGCGCTTAAACCCCCAGCGCTCATCTACACATTCTGGCGCTGTTTTAGGTGTTGTTGTTGGCTATTCGAAGACACTAAAAGGGGCCAGGCAGCAGGGCAGAGATGACTGGAGATAAACCCCAGCGGGCGACGTGAACACGTGTGCGGGCGTGCATGTGTGTCGCCCGGATTACATCAGCGCGCGTACCCGCCGTGTTGCTCCTGGTTGCATCATCGGCCTCTTCCCCTCGCGCTCCCTGCAGCCTCGGGAAGGGAAAGGGAAACTCCGCGCGCCGCCGCCGCCGCCGCACGAGAGAGCACCGGCACGGGGCAGCTCGCTCCGCGAGACCCCCCTCCCCTCACTCTCGCTCTCGCTCCGCCGACCCGCGGCCGAATTTTACATTTAAACGGGTCTTTTCTTTTTAAAAAAAGACACTAATCACAATAAAACACTCGCCCCGGGCGCGTGTGTGTGTGGGGGGGGTACCAGCTGCATGGATCCGCCCACTGTTCAATAACACGTCGGGTAGCTTCGCTACAAACGCTCCTAACAGCCCGAAACGAGCCTAAAACCGCCGCGACCCCGCCGCCATGACATCCCCACAGACCGATATACCCACCGAGGTCATCGTAAGACGCCTGTTCCTGGTTAAAACTCCGATCCTGGACCGCGTAGTCCTCCCTGAACCCGCGAGTCGACAGCCCACAAGCCTGGGCTCGCTGCTTAGATCGCAAGAGGAAAACAGCGAGAACAGAAATCCTGGTCGGCAGGGAAAATAACCCTCCCTCGCCACTTACCTGGGGCGCTCGCCGGTCCACCCGAATCTTTAATCGAGGCTCGAAGTCTTTTAATTTTCTCTTTTTTTTTTTCCCCCCTCGATACCAAAAAAAAAAGTGTGTGTGCGTGTGTAAGGGGGGGTCCTGTTTCTGTTTTGGTGTGGTACGGGAGCTGGTGTCAGTATTGCGAAATCGAGCTCCCCGTGTAGGGGAATCTGTCAGCTGAGCCAATGGCCGGGGCGCGTCAGCCCGGGGTGACGCAAGGCGCCCGCTGAGCGGCAGCCCGGCCGGCCAATCCGGGGAGGCCGCCGCGGCGCCGGGGGGGAGGGCGCTGCTGCGGGATATGTGCGCAACTTCCGCATAGACGCGCAGGGTGTCAACAGCGAAAGCTCCCAGTCACAGGTCAAATAAGGAGCGTGTGCGTCCGAACAATGCCCATACTGTACCTTCACTGTTTAGGTTCAGACGCATGTTCAGTTGGAAGGGTGGAGGGGAGATATTTGAAGGAAGTCTCAGTTCTGGGAATCCGGCTGTTAAGAAAATAAGACTCGGTTATTGTTTGTCTGGTTCTCAGAGAGGTGCTGAAAGCTCGCCTCATCGTTTAAAATGTAGACACGGGTGTTGTTGGGGGTTTTTTTATACCATCTGTGACCCTTGGGTTTCGAGAACATTATGGAACGATGACGCGGATTCCGGAGAAGGTCTCTTAAAATAATAAAACTGAAACTGTAACGTTTAAACATAGTGTAGCTTTCTTTTTACAGGACAGGGGAATAGTACAGATTAAACGAGCAAAATAGCAGGTGCGGCAACAGCATGCCCTTTAAACAGTAAGAGTACAGATGTTTTAACTTTTTTTCGCACGGATTTTACATTTTGTCGCTTTAAAACAAGCGGTCATGACACTTTGGAATATCGGTATTTATGTACACAATCTATTCCACACCTTCCAACACAAAATTCAGTGGAAAAGGGTTAATAAAAATATTAAGGAAAAGGGAAAACTCGTGATTGCATGAAATAGTCGAACCATATGCTCTAACCAGGTGCCCAAAATTACTTTCACATTGCCACACAAGAAGTTCATTGGGCTCTGTGTCCAATGATAATTCTTCACCATAAATGCATCTGTCCCATTCAGGTAGTGAATTTCATGCAAGGATTCAGCCACGAAGACCAAGGAGGTCTCAAAATATTGCAGAGATGTTGTAGAAAAGCACAAATCAGGAGAAAGCTATAAGGAATTCAAAAACACTGTATATCCCTGAGCCCTGTGAAGTCACTCATTAAGAAGTGGGATTTGTATCATACAGATGGCATGGTGGTGCAGCTATTAGCATTGCTGCCTTGCAGTGCTGGGGCCCTGGGTTCAGTTCTGGACCTGGGGTGCTGTCTATATGGAGTTTGCATGTTCTTGCTGTGTTGGCGCTGGTTTCTTTCAGGTCCTCTGGTTCCCTCCCACAGTCCCAAACATACTGCCAGATTAATTGGCTTCCCATACAGGGTGCACCCTGCCTTGCGCACTTTGCTTGCCACAATAGGCTCTGGCTTCTCTGTGACCCTGAATTGGCTGAAGAGATTAGATGGATGTGTATCGTACCACCCAGACACTGTCTAGAGGGTGCCGTCTCTGCAAAGTGAGAAGCCAGGCAAGGAGGAAACTGGAAGGGAGGCAACCGTGAGGCCGACTGTGACTTTGAAAGGGTTTCAGACTTCCTTGTTGTTGTTGTTGTTGTTGTTGTTGTTGTTGTTGTTGTCCGAGATTGAAGAAAATGTGTGCGAGTCAACAATACCCCAGCCGCTCCTTAAAGGGGGCCTGTATGAAAGAGTGGGGAAAATCCACGTCCGTTCCCACATGGGAGCATGCAGCAGCGTTTAAGTGATTCTGCAAACGTGCGACAAAAGGTTTTGTGGGCAGGCAAGACAAAAGCGGAACTTGGTGGCCTAAATCGCAAAGTGTAAACATGGTGCATCATTCAGTCAGTACGATACCTACTGTCAGGCTTGGCTGTGGCGGCTTTATGTGAAGAGTCCTGACTCGAATCCTATTGATAAACTATAATCGCAGGGGGTTCGGCATGCCAGTTCCTGCCAGGCACTCACTCCTATGGCACAGGACCACTATACTGCTCCCCTTTGAGGTCTGAACATCCTCTTGGGATAGCCCACGCCACCCCTACAGCAGCTGAAGGTGCTGGGCTTCTCTGTGCGCAGTCATGTAGAATACTCTTGTGCTGAAAGTTGTGCCTCAGTCATGCTTGAAGTCTGAAAGATCCAAATTTCTAATGGCACTTTTTAAAACAGCTCCAGACGTCTACTATTTTTTTTTTCCCCAAAACAATTCTGGAAAGAGGACGTTGCCGTGGTGAAGTTCAGGACTGTGAGCAGGGCAGAACCCTCTAGGGTGGGATGTGGACAGATCAGAAATGGGGAAAAGGTCGTTCTGTCAAAAGAAATTTCCAATTAAGGTAAGTCCACTGCATTTCTAATGTGACTTCTCCCTTTATTTTTTTTAAAAAGAAACAAACCTATGAAGATTTCATGAGCTTTTTTATTAATCAATTGCTTCGCCCTTGGGGAGATAGTGAAGATACATTTACAGTTTAACAGAAACTTAGTTACTATTAATAATTTACTTCCCTTTGACTTTTTCCATACCTTACAGTTTTCACAAGGAAAGTGTTCAATAACAAAAGAAACAAGATTGTTTAGTCCAAAATGATTAACAAGAGTAATAAAAACACCCCTTAGTGTACATTAGTTTAATGCTGTAGTTGACAAATATGTACGAATTAGCAGAGCCGCAGTGAAACACAATTAGGCAGGTATTGGTGCTTTACTTCACTCCCCTGACATAAATGATGATTGCAAAGGAACAAGTCAGGGTTTACTCCATGCTGAAAAGAGAAGAAAGAAAACACAATGTTTTGGGTGTGGAGTCTTCTTTGGGCGTCATAAATGATGACCTGCAGGCATGATGTGTCACATAACAAGCTGTTCTTCAAAGAGTGGAGGAAGGGGTTAAGTTGTAAAAGCACAAATGATACACACCAACATATTTAGCATTTCACAAATTACTCGATCAATGTCAGCGTGTGGAAATGTAGTATTTGTGGATCTGTAACCCCCCTGGTACCCCCAAACTCTTTCCAACTCTGAGTTCTGTAACTTTCTGAAAAAGGACTTACTAGATATCTGGATCTAAACCTAAACACAAAAGTGTTACATGATCTAAACCAAATATAAAGAAACTGTTGGTAATATCTGAAAAACAATGCTCTCTGGATGCCAGGGAGTATCACCCCATTGTGTTTTCTAACAGGGAGAACAAAGGCCATTTAGAGGTCTCTTCTGTCTATCATATATATTCTTTGGGTGAAAATTAATTTGAGATGGATCATTAGATGAACCAGGAAACAGGAGATGAACCTTATGGTATTTCTTACACCATAAGGTGAGTATTAACATTATTAGGCCAAAGATAGGAGAGACAGAGCACTGGTCCTGAAAATAAAACTTAATAAGCAATAAGCAGTAATAACTGATAACTGAAAGTAATACCGAGATGTATATTTACTGGTACGTGCTCTTGGTTTCTTGCATTTTCTTCTAACAATCACCCATCGTTTTCAGCACCTGCTTTTTTTCCTGAACGGCGACGCAGAACATTGCCCACAGTTAAAATGTTACTAATGAGATGTTTTTTATCGTCCTTATGAACACCGCCATGCTTAAATCTCTACTGTGTTTGAGGACCTCCACCTGAAACACTGAGTCCACAGGGACACTGTACACAGCCCTCGCACAGAGCGCTGTGATGCGGTGCGGTGCAGTACTGTCAGCTCGTACCTTTTATAGAATTTTCTGTTGTCGACACTTGGATGTTCAGAACACGTTTTTCGAAACATGTTTTCAAACAGCTGTGCAAAGGGTACTAGAAAGTGAAAACCTAAAAAAAAAGTCAGAATCTCACTAACCTCCTTAGAGTCGGGTCGATAATCAACAGAAAATCTTTTTGACATCTTGCCCTCTGTTGACTTTGAGCGAGTCTGTGTTTCATTGCTCTTACGGTTGCTTTTGAATACTTAACGGATATCGTCTGTTTCAGTTGAGCAATTCAGAATCCAGCCTGATAAAAGGAATGCTCTGTGATACAGCAACACGCCAAATCGGAGGCACCTTTGTTTTTTTTATAGTCTCGGTTGCTTTCTGATGAGCGCACGCAGGGCACCGTTTGCGGTCACCGTTGAAATTCAATGGTTGGTTAATCAGGACTTCAGAAAAAGCGTAAAGCGGGGTAACCCGAGTGTATTCGCTCTCAGTGCTTGAGGCTACAGACTTCCTCCAGCAGTAACAAGTTCTCCGCGAAACAACAGAGGGAGCTCCCCGCTCAGGAAAGGCAGAGTCACGATTCAGGCCGTCGCTAGCTAGGAGTCTGACTTGTGCCAAGTCTCGGAGAGCGAGCTTCAGGTCACCGGCTGAATCGCAGCCGTTGTAGTCGATTTCACACAGCACAGTGAGATTACTATGATAGCATCATGTACAATCATCTCACTCGAATAATAAAGGTGATATCATAAAAGCCTCAAGTTTTCTTGAAATATAGTGTTTTTTATATTATTCATTGTTGCCTTTTCCTTACTAAAACATTACCGCAGTGCTTGAAAACAAAGAACTATCAACATCTGTTCAATTGTATTGTTTTAATTTAATAACGGAAATTACCTCCATAGTGTTTTCATTATTTTCTCTTCATTATTAGTATATTATTACTTACATGTAATAGTACGCAAGTTTCTACATTACACCACGGTGTACATATACAGCTAGAAAATATCTGGGAAATATCGGACTTTTGTTCATCTGCCTTCATTATGTCCTTAAAATGTGAAATTATGAGGATTGTATTTTTAAGCTTTTAAGTCGAAAATGTGTCCTTTGACTTCTTAACAGACAATTCCAACAATTGCCTCGAAAAAGCGATTTGCAGGCAGACAAAATATATTTAAGTGCCAAATGCCAAAATGTTGCAATGTTGGCAAAATATAGTACAGCCACCCTAACGTGAATCAATTGCATTTATTAAGCAATTTCACTACTCCGCGATTCTAACAAGTAACTAGAAGAAACCTTTAACCTTGTTTTCTTGATGCTGGTTAATGTGTGTATTAATAATAATAATAAGAAGAAGAAGAAGAAGAATGCATCATCATTTCATTTTTACTTGAATGTAATGTCGAAGATACACTACCACACTTCGCTACGCACACATATGCTTTGGTACGGAGACGTTAAATTTTCAAGAAAACGATCAGCTTTCAGAATAAATCAGTTTGTTCGCACAATGCAGTTTACGCGGAATAAATCAAGCAATGCTGGTACAGTTTCAGCACAAGAACCAACTTGTTACTGTGACCGAGAATGATTCGGTGAAAGCGTTTCAGTAATTCGTCCAAGCTTGGTGTAGAAGTGGAGTTCGGTGACAGCGTTGTGACTAAGGGATATGTACCTACACTCAGATAACAGGATGTGAAAAGACTGGCTGACTGTCGGGGGGGAGTTTAAAATTCCCAACACAGCTTATTGCTTCTCTGGTTAAGTACAGGTTGATGTTCCCTGCACCCTAGCTGCCGCATACTGGGCTAACCATGGGCTCCTGGGACCTCTCTTGTAGTAGCAGCCCATGGGAAACTCACCTAGGCGTTTGTCTTTAGGTTCCCAACTCTTACAGTTGCCTAGAAACCTATAGGTCATCTACAGATTCTTTTTTTCCCCCTAAGGGACAAATATGCAAATCCGCAAAACAAAGTGTGGAAAAAAAAACTCCCCACCGGGGCTCTTGATTTAGAAACAAAATCCCTTCATCAGACATAACGGGTACAGGGAATTCCATCTGCCGTGTGGTAAAATACAGTTACAAACCGACACTCCGAGGTAGCCCTTCGTGTGGTACTGTGCAGTGAAGTCATACTTATAGGGGAAAATCTCGTTATACTGTAGAGTAACTACTAATAGACAATCAATAAAGATCGACTCTCGACTTGAAGTATTGTCTGGAAAACGGTCTAATGCAATAGTGCATATTTTAAAGTCCTCCCTCCCCAATGACACGCCGCAGATATTGAAATCATTGTAGCGGTATCTAATCAGCTGTAGTTCACATTCAAGGGGAGGAGCGCCGCTGGAACACTCTGTGCGTTTCGACAAGTCACGTCGGCGTGTCGAGGAGGTCTGTCCGGGCTGATCGCGGTATGGGAAGATACCCAGACACGGCAGGTTTGCGCTGGCTGGCTGGCTGGCGGGGGGACGGACCGCAGCAACAGGAACATCAAACAGTAGAAAGAAAAAAAGAAGTAAACGAAATTGTCCTCGTGTCCCCTTTTCCCAGCCCGCTGTCACCTGAATTTTTTTAAATCGGAATTGTGATTCGGAGCCGCTATTGCAAACAAAGCAGAGAAGGGCTATTCATTAATACTTTCTTCTTTGAGAGCGTTTGTAAAAGAGCTGCAGTGTCACTCTGTCACATCAATTAAAATGTTCACCTAGGCACCAGCCCCTTCTTCAAGGTGCACGGTTTTCATTATGACTTTTACTGTAGTTTTAGCCCTCACTCGGTGCTTGGATCCCTGAAGAAAATGAGTTGCTGGTAGTATAGTATACCCTGCAATGCACAGTTTTGCATTGTAATTTAACCTGAGTTGGGTACATACAATTTATACAGTAGCGTATATAAAAATAACACACCTATTGCAAAATTCGCATACCCAACAGCAATTACTGTTTATTCCTGTTCTACCTCGACTCCTGCTATAAAGAACACTCATGTTTAGCGATATTAATATAGCATTTTCCAACGACTCTTTCACTTATATAGGCGGACGTTTATATTGCTAATCTAATTGTTGCCAAATCTTACGAAGGGACCACTTAACCAATATTGCTATTCAGTTTTATTACATTATGTAGTATAAAGTGAAACCGACGGTATTATACCGCATACAGAATATAAGAGACTCGTACTCGTATGTACTTAAACTGTTAGGCAAATTTGCCCACATATATGTGTGTATATCATACACTTATCGATATGATTTTTCGAAGCTAACTTACATTCATAGCTATAATACATACATAAGGCTCGCAGATATCATAACGATTTCGCAGCGTCAAACCCATATTTTTATGGGATATCGATTACATCTAAATACATCCAGGCAATACATCATGCACTTTTTCGACAGAATGTTTAATCCTGAATGAACATGATATCGAATGAATATTCAATTTGGGGGGGGGTATCCGTATTCATTGCAATGTATTTTAGAATTCCATCAGCCAAGGTATGTTCCTAAAAATAAAATCCCTTTGAATGTTTAAAGTTAATTTATTTTACATGCACTTATTTTAGACGGTTCTAGGGGAACTGCCCCCGCTCTTTTAAAGTACCCTCGGGTAAAGTTCAGTCGGGAGGGAATTCTGTTCCAGGCGCACTAGGACCCTGAAGAGCAGGCGGCCTCCTCTACAGCACGGTATATATATCACTGAGTCGGGAGAGTAAATCAGTTGTGAGCTACTGGGGCTTACAAACCAAGTGAGACTAAGGAACTGCCTTTTGGAAAGCATTCCTGTTTCAGTTTGCACTGTCGAAGCCCGCCCGATCCATAGCGGCAGACCAGACCTGAACTGCTTCTCACCCAGCCACTCACCTACAGTACCTGGCCGCAACCTGAGCTTGCTTGAATTCCCCGAGCCATCGCGGCTTTCTGCGGCACTGCGAGCAAGCTGGATTCTCGGAGCTCTTCACCATGCCTGGCTGGTTTTAGATACTCCATGGAGCAGCCCAATTTCTACGAGGTCGACCCTCGGCCCCTGATGAGCAGCATTCCCCCGAACCAGCAAAGTGCCTTCTGCTACAAAGAGCCTCCAGCGGCCGGAGACATCAGCGAGATCTGCGAGAACGAGAACTCCATAGACATCAGTGCCTACATCGACCCCGCGGCCTTTAACGACGAGTTTCTGGCTGATTTATTCCACAACAGTGCGAAGCAAGACAAAGCCAAGCTGGCTAGCGGCGAGTTCGGCTACGCCAGCGGCGGCCACGGCGGCCCCGTGACCCACCCGCAGGTCTACGGCTGCATGTCGAACTACATGGACACGGCAAAGCTGGACCCCATCTACGACCACCCTTCCGCCACGAGAATCCGACCTGTGGCGATCAAGCAAGAGCCCAGGGAGGACGAAGACACTAGCCAGTCTGCCATGCCGCCGACCTACCATCACCCCCAGCACCACCCCCACTCCCACCCCCAGCACCTCTCGCATCTCCAGTACCAGATCGCGCACTGCGCCCAGACCACCATGCACCTGCAGCCCGGCCACCCGACGCCCCCCCCGACCCCGGTACCCAGCCCGCACCACCAGCAGAACAGCCTCCCGGGGGGCTCCATGAAGATGATGGGCGGCGGAGACCGGAGCAAAGCCAAGAAGCACGTCGACAAGAACAGCACGGAGTACCGCCTTCGGAGAGAGCGCAATAACATAGCGGTCAGGAAAAGCAGGGACAAGGCGAAGATGCGCAATGTAGAAACCCAGCAGAAGGTGATCGAGTTGTCAACCGACAACGAAAGACTGCGAAAGAGGGTGGAGCACCTCACCAGAGAGTTGGAGACATTAAGGGGCATCTTCAGGCAACTCCCCGATGGCTCCTTGGTCAAGGCTATGGGCAACTGTGCGTAAAAAGGAACTCGGAACTTTGCAGGACTCTTCACTGGTATGATTTCTGCTGGGTCTTATAGCCACAGATGTGACAGATTCTCGAACCTTTATTTTTTTAAGGAGCCAGGCAGCTGAGGTATACATGTATGTGCCTTTTGTACAAAACGATAAGCTCATTTTTTCCCACACTTTTAAGTGTTATCAGTGGAGGTTTTAAATGTTTTCGTGCCTTAAATGTAAGAAAGCGCCCGCCAGTGTGTTTGTTAGCTAAGCAAAAACATATCAGTGCAGCTAAGGTAGGCTACAATTGTAATTTTTAATCTTTGTTCATGTTTTAAAACTTCAGATCTCCTCATAATGCCTATTTTTGTCAAAATACCATATGCGCTGTGCCTTAAGAAAACTATTTAAAAAATAATATGCGCACGATATTTCTAAATATGCTGTTTTTGTGCTTGTCAACACCAATATTAAGTACTTAAGCTTTAAGGAATTTCTTGACGTGCGCAAAAAGTTGAAAATCTTTTGCTTTTTCACACCTGTCCGAAAACAGCATATTTAAATTTTGAGTACATTTGCCTTAAACGTTTCAGTCAAGGTCTAAGAATTAACTTTTTATTTTCATGCGCGGTGGAAGGGGAAAGAACGACTGAATTATGAGACGCCAAAGTAAAGGACTGGAACGCAAGTGCTATAATCTTGTTTCTGTTTCTGCTTCATATAAGCAGGTTGTCAATGCACTATACTGTATGTCGTCAGAATACGAGTAAATGAAGCACATTGTGTTTTCGAAATGGCAATAGACTCGGGTGTAGTTCTATTAAACGTCTCTCAATGTATGCTTTTGGATTTTAGCCTTACATTTATACTGTACAATTCAGAATGTGAAAGAATGCCTTACACAGTGTCTGTTGCCATCTACATGATTCCATATAAATATCACTTTGGTGTGCTTTCTCACTGATTTTGCAGTGAAATACTGTTCTCTAGAAATCCGCTCGATGATGTTGGTTTCTGCGCACTGTTTCGTTCTCTCGAGCAGAAGCCCGGATTAAGTGCCTTCTCCACCTTTCTTTTTCTTCACGATATCACTGGTCGAAAGTTTTGGAAATAAAAGTAAAGCAAGCACTTTTTACAAATGACATTTTGCCGTGTAATACAAATATTTTAAGTACGTTTAAATTGTAAAATAAAAATATACATGATATATGCCAAAAATTATTGAAAAATATAATAAATGAAAGCCTTGTGTTATATCTTGTTGTTACGTCTCTTTTATTCTAAGACCAAATTGATTTTTTTGTTATTTTTGCTGCTTTTCTACACCCGCGAAGTAAGTCAATAGTATTTTATCATTGAACTCAGCAGAAGGTAAAAAAAAAAACATTGGATTAATTTCACTTCAGTTGTCCGACAAGCGCAGCTATCAATTTACCACGTACATTATTTTAAATCTAAATATTATTTCTTTAAAATGCTTCGCCATTACGCTATATAATGTATAAAATAAAATCGAATAACATACTTACAATTATGTAATTTATTGGGATTAGTTTTTATTAATTCGGTATATCTTCTTATTAAATATTCCTGTAAAATCTCTGTCACAGTTGTGGTAGTGCTCCAAAAAGTGTCGGTAGATGGCGCTTTATAAACACTAGTAAGTAGAGGTTGGCGATCATCGCTTTTCCAATAGTAGCAATTTAAATTCGGGTTATTGATAGGGTGACATTAATTTTTCAATGTTTATTATTTTGTGCAACACGTTGTGCGCATAACCATTAAACAGACTCATATCATATTGTCAAAAGTGTGTATAATTTTAAATATTTGTGCACCTGTAAAGTGTAAATGTGGTATGACAAAGACATACGTTTTTGGAAAGATCAGATATTTACAGCAGTCGTTAATAGTAAATTATTGCTTTATATGTTCTCTTAAAATATCTGCAACAAAACCTTTATATTCAGAAAAGGAACTTTCTGATGACTGTTTTCTTTGCAATTTAACAAGGGGAAACATCTCAAGATTTATACTTTTTCTGCACGAAACATCAAAGTACTTTAAATCATGGAAGAATGTAAAACATTCAAACAACTTTTCCATTCAAACCTGGCAATGCATATATGAACGTGTCATTCTCTGTTCATTCTAAACATTATGGTGATTTCTTTCTGTTTACTTCAAATGAACATGCACGCATTTTAAACGACAAGCATACGCTGCTACATCATGTTCTCCGACTGATGGGGAGACAGAACTTGTGTTTCCTAGTATAGATCGTAACCTAATGAACCATATTTTGTGGTGCAGTGGATTCTGTGAAAGTGAATCCTTTCAGCAATGTCAGTTGTTTAAACCTAATACAAAGTTAGTACATTATTTAAATTTTGGACCATAGTTCCACCTTTAAAATGAGCATTTTGTTAATGTACATTATATTAATCTAGTGGCTGTGCGTTGTCTGGCTTTGTGCCAGTACTGGGGTGAAATAATTGCATGTGGAAGATTATGCACTTAGACGTGGGCATTACGGAGTGGCACAGTAAGTATTACTGCTGTCTCACAGCTCGTGAGTCCCGGGTTCGATTCCACCCAGGAGTACCTTCTCCATGGAGCCTGCCTGGTTTCCACATGTTGGGTTTTCACCAGGTGCTCCAGATCCCTTCCACAGCCAGAAGCCGTGCTGTCTGGGTTATCTGAAGTCTGTAAATTGCCCCCTGTGTGTGCCCAGCATTGCCCATTATTTGCTGGACTCATCGTGAGCCTGTACTTGACTATGCAGTTACTGAAGATGAATGGGCAAATGAATGGGCATGCTTTTTCTCCAACACGGCTTTTGAAAATTAGCTTTCAATTTTAGAAAAATGCTCGTTAAAGTAGTTGAAAATGTACAGCTGGATTGATTGGAATACAAGTTCCATTGCCTTATACCGGATATAAAATTGGAAACATCTGTAAAAACATCTGTCTGAACTGAAAGAGAACAGTTAGTGACAGCAGACAATATTTTCTGTATTATAGGCAAGGTTAACCAAATTTGGCACTTGAATTCATTTGCAAGTTTTAATTCCAACAACAAAGTGACCTTTAGCAGCAGAGCTTTTTAAATATTAATTAATTTTAAGCATTGATTGGAGCAGAGGGCAGCTGATTGAAGGACACTTGCTAATAGAAACTACCTGAAAGGAAGTCAGGGAGAGCAGTGAGATGTGAGCTCTGTGCCCTGAGCTTGATGGGAGCCCACTGCTTTCAGAATACCAGTATAAACAACAGACTGGCTAGAACATACACATGGGTCTGCATTTCTGGGTCAAGGAGTCCAGTAGCAAATTGGGTGAAAAAACAAATCTGAATTTAAACAGCAACCATAAATGTCTGATCTAATTTGTTAATTAATGTTTTATTGAAGTGTTTTGGCAACTTTAATGCCCTGCTGAGAACCTCTAGAGACTGCAGTTGCTTCTAATTGAGGCACCCGACATGAGTATGGAACAGCTCATTGTAGTTCACGTCATGCAGCTCAGTGGGCTATTGATTCCCAGCTGGCCATTTCAGTTTGGTTGGCATTATTTTTCAAATGTTTAAGATTCAAACACCTGGTGTTGCATACAAAGTTACAGCCTTTCAGACTGTGCGGTAGACTAGGGTATAGTTTTATTACACTTTTGTTAACTGATATTTTAATTCTTTTAAAAAGGTTGCTTTTGCCTGATCTTTTCTGGTTGAAGCTAAATCCCTGGAAGAATCTTCTCCACCCAGACTTGCAAGGCAACAGCTTGCTTTTTCCCTGCCTAATGCTGCTTCACTGTAACCTGTACCCTGTCCTAGGAAGCATAAGGCATCACAGCGCACAGGGACATATCAAAAGCACACAGAAATGTAACATACAGTAGCATGTTTTTGGGAGGTAAGAGGAAACCACACTACCTGGAGAAAGCCCATGTTTTCGCTTAAGACAGGGGTAGTACACAGGGACTGGAGAATTGCTCATGTAGCAAACCATCCATGAAAAGGTTGAGAGAACTTAAGTTAATTATAGATAAATAAATCTGACTTTTCATACATGTAAGGTAATGGAAACAATTATAAACTCTGAACTGGACAATAGCAGGTACGGACATAATATTCTAGGGAACAGTCAACACGGATTTAGAAAAGGCAGGTCTTGCCTGACCAGCTTGTTGGAATTCTTTGAGCTAGCGCTGCAGTGATGGGTACACATAGAGCATATGATATGGTATACATAGACCTTCAAATGGCATTTGATTATGAGAAACTTTAATGATTAGTTCTAAAATCGCTGGCATTTTGGATTGAGAATTGGGTTTTAAATAATAAATAGATACAGATATGGGAGGAATACTAAAATCTGGGTGATGGTGATGTAACTATCTGATTACTTGATTTAACTGATTATCTGATTGTGTTAAGACAACTGCTTCTTGGTTTGCATCAATGATATTGTGTCTGCAATAGTCACATATGCATGCAATACCAAATTAGGAGGACTGGCAAACACTGTAGAAGAAGCAAATAGAAATCTAAAAAAATAGATGTTAAGATTGGGCATATACTGTACATTATATACTGATGACATTTAATGCAGACAAGAAGAAAATGCTCATCTCGGAGCTAAAAGAAGCTGGTTTTGAAAAGACTTAAGTGTTTGTGTCAACTGATTCTTTACATGTTTTAGGCAATGTAGGGAAGCAAAATGCTAGAGCACAGAGTGACAGTGTGGCATGTTTGTGAAGTGGTGTTATGACAAAATTGTTTATCACTCTAGTAAGGCCTAGTGTTCAAATATTGTGCATTTAACATTTTGGCTGCTACGTTATAGAAAAGATATCACTGCACTGGAAGCAGTCTGGAGAAGAGCGACCTTCTGGGGCTGAAGGGACTGAGCCACACTGACAGGTAGTCCGGATCAGAGTCGATTCCAAGGGAATTTCGAGACAGGCATACAAAATCTTCAGAAGGTGGAGACAGGCTTAACCCTGCAGATGTCTTCAGGGAGAACGGTGAAGCACGAGCAGTGGAGACAGTGGAAACTACAACAGAAGTGCCTTTAAAGCATTTCAGAGAACACCAGGCGCATCTTTATGGCATTGAGAGATTCTTGGGTCAATTCATACTGACTACAGATTCTTGGGTCAATTCATACTGACTACAGATCCTTGGGTCAATTCAAACTGACTAATGAAAGGCTAAATGGGTCGAATCACCTCGGCTTGTTTTTGAACTTTTCTGAAGTTCTTAGTGAAACTAGAGAGAACATATAAATTCCTACTGTAGTTCTGGCTTCCTGCTTCTGCATGCAGAAGGACACAGAGCTAATCACCTCACTACTGTGCTCTATCCATATCATAGAAATGTACCTGATTGTTAAAATTGGTTGTTTTTTTACATAATATAATTCAATAAACCAGTCAGTGAGCTCAGATTCCAAGAGGTTCAAGTACAGTATGAAAACATCATGCCCAGCAGAATCTGGCCCTGACATCATCACTTTTCCACATTACCACTTCACTCGCTGCTGCTAGGAGATACTTTCATTTCATTGACAGCTGAACCCAGTCACCCAGCTTTCCCAGTGGGGTCCCAGCTACTGTACTGATGGCAACAGGCAGTTAATAACAGGTTTTTCTCTCCCCATCACTCGCAGGAGGGAAGAACGTGAAAGATTTGGTTTCACACATGCATTGAGTAACACTTCATAAATCATTTAATGTCCATTGCAAAAGAGAAAATCTCCTTTTTGGCAGTATTTAAGAACACAGATACACAACATCTAAAATATTGCAAAGAAGTCATTCTGGGTCATTTTGGCCACTTTGTTCATATATTTAGTAGGACCTTATCAAAACTATTAGAACAGTGTTCCTGCTATTTCGGCCCTGCGGTCTGTCCAATGAGTTATCACCATTGTTCAGCTGTGCCAGAGCAGCTTCTAACCTAAACGAACAAGTGTCTGCTTCTCCGATGTCTTGAGTGGGATACGGGAGCTTTTCTGAAGGATCAGCGAGTCCTCCTCATCTTTCAACACCGGAGTGTACATACTCATATCGCCTGAGGGCTTTGAGGCACTTGGGTATTCAAATCATTATATTAATTTCAGCCTGTTGTGAAAAATATTATGCAATAATTGCAATATGATTGGTTTTGCAGAAAAAGGCTGGCTGCATTATTTCAAACTAGTTCAATTGGATGACGAGAATTTTTATTTAG